AAAACACTTTCCTGAAAATTAAGCAAAAAATTTTTTTGACTAAAAAATATTTTCGTTAACTGGAAAGTATTTTTTGTTAACTGGAAAATGTTTTTCATTGACCAACTTTTCTAATAACAAACAAACACAAAAAAATTTGAAAAGTGATTTCTCGATAATTGTTTTTCAGAATACAAATATAACCTAAGATTAGATCGATTCTTTCAACTTGTAACTTTACTTTACCTCAAATCAATCCAATTGTTTTTCAGAATACAAACATAACCTAATATCAGATCGATTCTTTCAGTAACTTTACTTTACCTCAAATCAATCCAATCAGGTTTTAAAATTATAAAATTTACTAATATGACTCAAGTGATTTTCCTTGAGAAAATAATCTCATAACAACAACATTGAAAAACAAAATGGTTCATCGGACTGTCAATGAAACAAGACACGTCATCGATAGGTAAAGTCGTTCTGGCTGGTCAGTCATTAGTCTCCTAGGGCACAAACACAAGTCCAAAGAAAATGGCAGCTTCTGAGACAAAAACCAAGCTTGAAGATGTCCTCAAACCCTTCTATCAAAGAGCCTCTGAAGCTGAGGTCTGATTTTCCAATTCACATCTAAAACAAAGTTCATGTCTTTCTGAGTTTATGTATGATTTTTCATGTGCCCACCATCTATTTTGCGTTGTTGTAGAGTTTACAGAGACTTTCTTGATGTGGGTTATGTGTGCCTGTCGGTGTCGATTTATAAAGTTATAGTCTTTTCTTTTGTTTTTAATCACGGGGTTTGAAAAGAATTGGGGAAGATGAGCTCTGTAGTTCATAAAAATGTAAGGTTTTGTTTTTTTTGTTTTCTGGGTTTGACAGGTGGTGTTGGTGAGGAAGATGGGTTTCAAAATTTGGGTTTTGTTTGGACTGGATTTATCAACAGGAATTTTCTTTTTTTTGAGTGATAGTTTGCACAAAAATGCAGTTTCTTTTTCTTCTTCTGTTTAATTGCTGTGAAATATAGGAGACAAGAAACAAAACCAAAATCTTGAATCTGTGTTTGTGTTTTATTGGCCCTGAAAATGGAAATTGAAGTCAACGTTATTTTGCTTACGAAGGTGTTGAGAAAGACTTAAAGATTCCATGCCTGTGTTTTGTGCTGTGAATGCTGGCCTTTTGATGCTCCACATTTAATAACTTTTGATTTCTTTATGTGATCAAACGAAAACATATTTTTTTTTGTTAATGCTCTTCTTTTCATCGACCCAGTTAGACAAGATGTTGTTTACATTTATTGAGATTTGATTAAATATGGCAGCGTTAACTATGAACGCATTAATTCCGATTAAAATAAAACTATGAACAGATTGAGGCAATTCGTAATGCTGAACCCTATTTTTTGTTTAATCGTAAGAAATTTACATCTCCACCGTTGTATAGTTTGCTGCCTCTGATTGAAAGAGCGATTTTGTACCCAAATATCACTTTGATGACAAGCTTCAAGGTTTTACGTAAGAGAAAACAAAATCAGAGTACCCAGTTAGCCAGCTTTTAGAAATGGTTGAACAAATGAAATATAGGGTTATCCCCTCTCGGCTGGTAGGGGTTGGCAGCTTAGGATTATCTTCCATCACTCCCACCTTCCATTTGGAAAATAATGGACTACATGAGCTTTGGAACTTTATGAAAGCTGATTAGCATGCAGGCCAGGTGCTGAAAATGCAGTTCCCTGCGTGATATGGTTATTTTTTGGTTTGACCATTCTAATCTCTTGTTTCATTTATGTTCATCTTCTTTTTCCTTCTTTTGAACCAGAGTTCAAGGCCATTTATTTCTTTTCATCTAGTTCTGTATGATTGAACATTATGATGTGTTATCATCAACCTGTAGTTTTTCCTAAATGATCACTAATAACAAACACTTGCATTTATCCTTTACCATTTGCATCTTCTAACTTGCATTTGTGTGTTTAAAGGATCGGCTGTCAAGACTGGAAGCTTCTGTTGCAAGTAATAGAGGTAAACCTAAGGCACGCCACTTAACTTAAAGTGTGTGCTAGCTAAAAACCAAATTTCCTGCTTTACTAACAAAACCGGGAAACTCTCTTAGATGCTGGAAGCGAGGAACATTTGAAAACTATAAGTGAGCTTCAGGCAAAGCTAGAAGGTGCAAATGCAGAGCTAGCTTTGGAACGAGAAAAGGTAACTCACGTTTTTATATTGGTAGTCTTTCTTCTGAAATGAGCTACAGTATCTACACCTTTGATTTTCAGGCTAAGAAGCTTGCTGTGGAAAATGGAAAGCTCCAGTATCGTGTTATTCATCTTGTCCATGCAATCAGGGAGGGTGATGCTAAGTTGGAGAGCCTAAAAGGTAAAATTCCAGAAGGGATTCTTTGTCTTTGTTTACAGTTTCATTGCACCCTTCTGGATTTTAAGTATTGATATTCATTTAATTTATGCACCAGCCTTTTAATGCCATCTATTGTTACAACCCTCTTCATTTATGACCAATCCAGTTTTGACAACTGAGTGCTTAGACTCTTTTTGACCATGAATGCTAAGCTATTCTATTCCTGGATGGAGCTGGTAAGGTGGTAGTTAGCTTAAGCTAGTTTGCATATAGGAAGAGGCTATTGGCACAGCCTTTCTATTTTTTTATGAACTAAATGAAAAAAAAAAATAGCCTTCCACTCTTATTTTTCCCAAATTGATAGCAAGATTCTCCTTCTTCTCTAACATCTTCTCTCAGGCAGCCAACAAGATCATTCCCACCTTTCTTGTTAACGACAAAAAAAAAAAAAGTCATCTCCTTGAAACATCTTTCCAAAAGACTTGAATTTTTCTGGATTTAGAAAATTACTCAAGCAAGCACCATCTCCAACTGTACCACCAGCCACCACTCTCATCTTGCAGCTTATGATTTCTTTGTACCCAGATGCAATATCCCAAAATTAACACCATCTATTTGAAGACCCTAAAGAATAAAAAGAAAACCATTGTATCGAATGCTCATCTTGAATTCAATGTAGGAGAGAGGGTGCCCTTTTTCTGGATGTGTAGAGAATGTATGCATTATACAACTCTGTTTTCTTGTACTTGAAGGAGATTTTCGATAAGGGGAAAGTGAGGGGAAGAGAAATTATCCAGGGAAAAAGAGGAGTTTCTCTAGGAGCAACACTGCTAAATAATTCACAATTATTTATCAAGGAAAAAAACAAAGCAAATGGTTTGTCTAGCTTGGCAAGCAGAAGAGGAGGAATAAGAAAGTGGAAAAACCGCCACTGTTAGGATTGATGGAGCAACGAGCTTGATGCGTACAAGGTTTTAGGTTTCAAAAATGATTCGACATTTTCCGTACAAAAACTAGAAAAAGCTGTCGATAGATAACCGGGCTCTGCCAAAAGTAATTCCTTCACGCTTAATGCATGTTTATTTTTACATCACTCCATCAAATCATTTTGTTTTCTCCAGGTGGTTCAGAAGCAAGTGCAGAGGCTGTCTCGAAATTGGAGAATTTACGATTATGAACTGATAGAGCGTGACTTGCCATCGGATATCAGGACAGGATGGCAGCTTTGTGCTATCCCACAATCGGACAAGGTCTATGTGGATATCCAAAACTATAGATTGATACCTTTTGAGGTTGTACTGAAACTGATCCATCAGATTTTGCATGCATAAGGGATGCACGTTACAAGTTGTTCTTGTGATTAACTTTCAGATTTTTGTTAAATAGCACTGTCAAATTTTCCTCATACCAAAAGAGACAGAGAAGCTTGTTGTGTAATGGTATTTGGTATATCTGGCCCTTGATTGCTTTGCTGAGTAAAAAGTTCTACGAGTGAAACACTACTCTCGCTAAGAACACGTAGAAAATTCAGTATGCTTTAACTAAACAGTTTAAAGGGCCATACAGAATGCAAATATGTAAAAATAAAAGCTCAAATAGCACTACATGAAACCCTAAACTGCACCTGAAAAGAGGGAGGCCCTCCATTCCATTTGTAAAATCTCACGTTTCCTTTTTCATGTATACAAGTCAATATCTCAATCGGACATGTGTTGGGTCGACATGGATAGAGGTATACCTTTGGTCTATAATGCAGTAGCTTATACCAATGGAGCCATACAAACACTGTCAAACTAGAAACCTACAAAAGTATGGAGGAAGAAAAGAGAAGGATAATGATCTGTACAACCTAAATGCTCATCAATTCGCAAGACGCTCGGATATCAATTCAACTAGCAACTCCTTCCGAAGCTTACTGTATTTGGTTAGTTTAAGTCGGCCTGCAATAGTCCTCAGTTTAGGTAAACGCAAGTCCCTCAAGTTGCTTATATCAGCAATCCCTGATGCCACAATATCATAACTGGATTCACAGATTGAGCAAGGCTTCTCAACCGAAAGGTCATCGTTTCTTGCACCATCAATTGCACCATCAATCGTGTCCCCAAGCGAACTAGATAAATCCATTTGAACAGATGAACCTTCAGTCCCCAAAAGGTGTGGAAAATTTACACATACCTTTTTCTTGTTCTGTGGCTCTGATAATGAATTCGGGGTATTATCAGTTGCAGCACCATGTTCTTTAGCCTCCACCTTGTCGGGCCGAACTGCTTTCTTTGTGATCTTCCCACTCAAAGAATTGTTTAAACTGGAATTTTGTGGGCCATCTCTGGATTTTCGTTTCTTATTGCTTTCTGACATAGAAGACGAGCTTGAATTAAGTATCAGTTTGGAGAAACCAGTTTCTTGGAGAATTGGTGGATTTGATTTGATATTCCTCTTTCCCTTTTCTTTCTGTGGATTCGATAACAAATTCATGCTGGACCTTTCCTCACCAGCAGAAATTTCAGTCATCTGAACTTCAACTAGCATAGGTTTTTCTTCATCAGGCTGCAGCCTGGCTGCATTTTTCCCTTCATGGTCTTGCATCTCTAAAAGTGAAGTCAAGGCACAATTTTCAGTGTCAGTCAGATCAGTTTCTCTCAACTTCACAATTAAGGGAGTTTTCTTTTTGCCATTTGTCTTCCGAGGCGACTTCAACGAAACTATATCGTGAGCCGCAGCAATCTTTGATTCTTTCACACTTCGTTTTTGTGCTGCTTTTGGAGCTAACTCACAAAATTTTTGCTCTATATCAGAGTTACTGCAATTAGCCTGTTTAAAAGTACCTAGTGCACAATCAGAATTGTTTTTCTTCGCATTGAGGCCAGCTGCACGTCTCAGAACTTCTGCACTAACATTTTTTATAATAGCACCCGCAGGCTGCACAAAGGAAATTGTGCATGAGCAAAAAGTAAGGGGCAATGATTAATTGGAACTCAACACGTGACACTAACATCTATATGCAAAGTATCCATTAGTTCGGATGTGTATAAACCATAGATTTTGTGTAATGGCAGCATATTGATGCAAAATGTGAGAAAGAAAAACCTTGTAGCTCATCTGTTCCTGGATTATTTCTTCTGCCTTCCAAATTTAAAGATGAACTCGTTGCCTACAGCTCTAGATTGGAGTTTTGTGGCTTCCTCATTTCCAATTACTCTCAGATAAGACGTTACCAAAATTTCAATCTCAATGGAGCGACAAACTGCATTCCTATTAGTACTAGGGCCAAAATCAATGATACTATTAGGCTGTTCATTGCAAGAGGAAAGAGAAAAAAGAGTTACAATCACCTGTGAGAATGATCAAGACTCGGAAACCCCCAGGAGCCCCCGCCCCCCCCACAAAAAAAAAAAAAAAACCATTGCATGTAAATCACCTGACCTACAGATATAACTTAGTTTGCTCAAGTTCTTAGCCAATTCTCTCTGTCTACAACAAAATCTAAATAATGGTCCCAAAACTAAGTGGATGTGCAAGATACTGGTACCTTGACTCTTTTTCCGAGATCTGTTTTCTTTGCCATAGGCTTCGACGAGCTTGAGATTACAACATCAGGCGCAGATATAGAACTGTGTTCTTCAACTTCTTTGGTTGCAGTTGAATCTGAATCACCAGGTTTTTCCTTGTAAGAGAGGACAACTGTGTTTTCCAAAGAGTACATAGTGGAATTACTCACACTATTTTCTGTAGGCTGTTCAGTATCAAAGAAAACAGATTACACATACGGATTAGCATTTATATAATATTTAACAGGAATCGATATAATAAGTTATGAGCGTATGTGCATCTAGATAAGTTCACAAATGGTGTTTTGGCTGAGGAGATATACAGAAGCAACTGCATGTTGGAATTAAGGTTCATGCAGGAATAATGAGTGAAATGAACAAGATAGGATCATGGGAGTTTGAAGCAGCAAATAACTAATCTCTGTTATTCACTTTACAGTAAATCATGAAACCAGACCACAAATAATCTCTTGCAGACATAAATTCCTCTCTATGTCTGGTTCCAATTGTCATTTCCATAATGTTCCACTTGGACAAAAGTTTCTAGGTTACACTGCTGGAGATGTTACAATCTACAAGTTTCCAAAGAAAACAGAAAAATCCTTATTAGAAATCCAAACTGAAACACTGAAAAAGGCATTCTTGAATTAGTTCAATAAGTTACATTTACTTCCTATATTCTAGCATTAAGGATATTCTGTATAATAGCTTAATAGCAAAAACAAAAATCTCTATATTGCCTTCTCATATGCAATGCGTGTTGCATGGCTACCAAGCTCCTATCTGAGAATCATGTACTCCAAAGTTAGGGTAGTTTAATAGAGGCTAAACTCCTAGCATGATTACAATGCTGTTATATTTTAAGTCGTTAATAGCCCTCCTGGATAAGGAGAAACAAGTTCATTCTATTACTTTTCTCCAATTAAGCAACAATTTTTCACTTGCTTACTAGTGAAAAAAGAAGCTAAAGAATAAATTTGAACTAGAAGTTTCTCTTCAGATGACAACATGCTCATCATCAGGTTTCCACCTCTGATCTGCAAAACATACATGCAAAAGCTGAAATTTCATCACAATTACTGTTTATGAATTTGAGTAACAACAAATCCTACCATTGTATTTAGAGAAGTTAATCCCAAAGAGTTTCTCTTATTAAACTATTTCCTGATATGAAAATGTTATAGATTAATCTGTCCTCGACAAGTTTCACTCAAATCACATAATATATAAAAGAACAGAGAATAGAAAACTACCTCAACTTTAACTGATTCTAGACCATGTCTTCCCTTGTATGCAGATTTTGAAGATGAACTTTGGATCAGTTTTTCATCTTTTGGAGCAAACGCATGCTCTCTGGCATCCCTTTTCCCAGTATTTTTTGGACCACAAAAGCTCAGTGATTTCTTCTCATCAGAGAAATCAGGTGCCACTTCTGAAGACTGTGGAGAGAAGTCCTTGATATCAGCACTCGTAGGCTGTTCATTGTTAAAAACAGAAAACAGGAAGAGACAACGAATCAGGTCCTTGTTAGAAGAAAAATGATGCATCCATGCAAATTATCTGTTCAGTAAGTGGAGAAAAAGGAAACAGCAGTTCATTACTAATGAATTGTTTGATATTGGAAAGGAATGGTGTTATGGTTGACTGAACTGTGCAGTTTTATTTTCTTTCAAACTCTAGTTACTACAGAACAAAATATTTTCCAAGATGCAGCAACAACAAATACTCATGTTAGGATTTGTAGAAACATGCATTGGTACATGTGGCCACAAGGGAAAGTGTGTGTGAGAGAGAGAGAGGAGGGGTTGAAGTTCAGGAGCAAGACAATTTTAAACTGTCTAGAAGCATAATTACCGTAACAGAGAGGGATGCTACAAGATGAAAACAGTTATAACAAAGCATATGCATGAGCAGACAAGTTACAGCAACTAATTGGAGTTGAAGACAACTCAATGGTTGCAGTGCATCATGGAAAACATTTTACACCCCCTTTCCTTGAACAAAAGACCTTGATTTGAACCAAAAATCATGAGTTTTCACATCTTTCCCTCTGAATTTGCAGAACAATCATGTACATAATTAAAGCACGTGGGTTTAGAGCTTCTGGACCTTAATGACCTTTGAATTGACAGTTTTCTTCTCTTGAAGATTCAAAGATGGACTTAAAACTGCACCATGTTCTGTTGGAGTAGAACTACAATCCTTGGTTTTCTCACTTGTAATTGTTTCCAAATTGCAGTTGCTCAACCTTTTCTCCTTGTCCCAACCATTGGTTGTGTGTAGTGGAGCATCTGAACTTGAACCCGAGACAATGGCATCCTTAAGCTGTTCATTTGAACATAGAAGAATACAAGCAATCATATACAACCATTCGAGGTTGAGTTTATAAAAATCACAGACATGAACCTCTCGTAATTGATGCACACAAGCAGACTTCATACTAAGGAATCTGATTTGACGAAGTACTAAAATATCCTACTTCCCAAGTGACCAGAGGATGGAAAAAAATTATTGCTTGACATTTAAACTTGAGAAGTCCAG